ACATTTATAAATGTATGAACAACATGGTGAAAACATGTCTGAAAAATAACCCTTTGTTTTTTATTTTTATTTGTTTCTTATGAAAGGCTAAATAAAACATTGCTGGTAAATTTAGACTACAAACAGCTCCTCATAGTCAAAATATATTTTGGAATAAATCAGTTTAAAGGGGGGACCCTTTAATGCCCTGGCCGTCTAACCTGCTGTCGTTTTTGGTACATGTGTGCATCTCTCACACACCCAAAGAAACATTTGACACTCAAGATAAAATGTGCTGACTATGCAAAGTATTGCTGGAAGACCGTTTGTGTTTTACGAGCTGCAGGATGAACACACACACACACACACACACACACACACACACACACACACGCACACAACATGGGGGTGTGTTGGGTCATCCCTGGTGCTGCACAGAATCTCTTCCCACTTTTCCTCTTCCTAAATTTAGCACAGAGCAGGACCAGCTCAGCACAGCACAGACCAGAGAGGAGATATAGTATTATAAACAGACCCCCCCACCCACACACACACACACACACCACCTCACCTAGAGGAATCATTTACAGTGCTGTGATGATGCTACGTCATGTTCTCTCATTTGAGACGCTGCAGAGCAAACCTAACCTGTCAGATCTGAATGTCCGTCCACTCAGATGTGGGTCGAGTTCAGGAAACGTCTTTCCTGGAAGCGTCTCAGTTACAACACACTTCACGTCGTGTAGTGAGGCTGCGAAAATAAAGTTGTAGATGGGACTCGAACACAGAAGACTGGACAAACTTTTATGGCAGATTTCTTTGAAAGAGTTGTWAAACTTGTGCTCGTACTGTATGTAAAGATGTGTTTCTGTCATGTAAAAAAACTAAAACATATAATAAAATAAAAAAACGACTGAGTGCATGTTTATAACRATTTATCAGAGAATAAAATGAAGCTTCAGAAACAAACGTGAGCTCAGTCCTGTCGGCTGTTCTCCCAGGCGGAACGATGAAGGTCATCCTGGACCTGCCCTACGTCTACTCCATCATCATCTCCTCAGCGGTGGCTATAGTCTACACCCTGCTGGGGGGGCTCTACTCTGTTGCGTACACAGACGTCATCCAGTTGATCCTCATCTTTGTCAGCCTGGTGAGAAAAACAGCTTCAAAACAAGCTGAAAACTCTCCTTCTGGACTCAGAATCAGATTAATGAGTTTGAGTTGGTGTGTGTGATTGCAGTGGGTCTGTGTTCCCTTCCTGATGACCAACCCTCACTCTGTGGACATTTCTCTGACAGCCTACAACCAGACTTTCCAGGCTCCCTGGGTGGGCACCGTGGAGCTGGACGAGGCCGGGAAGTGGTTTGATGACTTCATGCTGCTGGTGAGCAGAGTCACACAGGTCTCTTTATACTGTGGTTAGATGAACAGTAACACAATAGCAGATGATTTTGTTGYTTGGTGTTGTTGTCCTCATGTCTGTGTGTGTCTGTGCCAGGCTCTGGGAGGTTTGGCCTACCAGGCTTTCTACCAGAGAATCCTGTCCTCCTCATCCTACACCCAGGCTCAGGTGACGTGCTTCGCCTCCTCAGCCTTCTGCCTGGTTCTGGGTATCCCGTCTGTTCTGGTCGGAGCTGTGGCTGCATCTACAGGTGCACCTGCTGAACTCCCACCTGTCGTAAACAAGTCTTGTTCTTTGGTTTTATGTCTTTCACTTCCATGACTCCAAATATACATTTGATTCTTCCCAGACTGGAACTCCACTGCGTATGGATTGCCCACCCCATACGAGCGCAGCGATGCAGGATCCATCCTCCCCCTCTCCCTGYTGTACCTCACCCCCACTTTCGTCTCGGTCATCGGGATCGGAGCTGTAGCCGCGGCTGTCATGTCCTCTATGGACTCGGCCCTGCTGTCCTCGGCCTCGTTGTTCTCCGCAAACATTTACAAAAACATCATCAGGAAGCAAGTGAGACTTTTCCGTCAGCTGGAAATGTTAGCTTTGTGGCTAGCAGCATCTGCAAAGAATTAGAGATTTAAAGTTCCTGTGACATGAGTTTTTGTGATAAATATGAATGCATTTTTGGAAAGATRACATTGGTGACATATTGCAAAAATAAGTTCACGCTGCTGAGATGAACAGTTGTTGAAATATTTGCRTGTGAAGAAACAGGAAGTGATGTCAAAAAGGAATATCTGCACATAATTACAGCATTATTAAAATGGGCTGCAGACTGTAGAGAAGAATCTGATGTTGCTTTAGATTATTGTGAGTCACTATCAGTGAGATGAACAAGTCAAAATAATATTGTTTTAATAAACAAAGGCCAGGAAGTTTATTTTCCTTTTTCCCCTTTGATGTCACTTCCTGTTTCACTTTCCTGAGCCAAATTCACAAMAAAATGTGCCAATTATATGTAAAAATGGGTAAAATCATGTGTATTATGCCAAGTTTTTTGATTATAAAGGTGTTTTCTGTCATGTTTTGGGGGTTTTAAGTTCTGAAGTTGCAAACTGGACAGATAAGTYGTCTTTCTGCTCCTTCAGGCTTCAGACTCTGAGATGCAGTGGGTGATCCGGATCTCGGTGGTGGTGGTGGGCCTGGCTGGGACGGGTCTCACCTTCCTGGACAGCAGCGTCCTGGTYTTCTGGATCGTTGGCGTCGACATGTCCTACACAATCATGTTTTCGCAGCTGGTCTGCATTCTCTTTTTTAAGATCTCTAACGGTTACGGAGCCACAGTGGGCTACGTCCTGGGCTTTGTCCTCAGAGTCCTGAGCGGAGAGCCGCTCCTCGGCCTCCCGCCCGTCATCAGGTTCCCCGGCTGCCGCCTGAACAAGGAAGGCAAGCTAACCCAGTACTTCCCTTTCCGCACCTTCATCATGGTCACCTCCCTYGTGTCCATCGTCCTGTTCTCATGGTTGGCCTCGGTCGTCTTCAGCAGAGGCCTCCTGCCCGACCAGTGGGACGTGTTTCACATCAAACACAAACAAAGTGACGAAGCCACGAACGTAAACCTGAACCAGAACGAGGACGACGTCACGGCCAAACAGCCTCTGAAAACCAGCCGCTGCTAAACTTTGGTTCAAAACATGAAACCTGCAGAAAATCTGCTTTTATATTAAATAAACACATTTACATTTTGATTCACATAACAAAGACTTTACTTTTATACTAAWATCTGCAAAATGTGTTTTTACAAACCAAATGAGGAAATTTACTGACTTCACATCYTTAAATTTTCACATCAAAACCAAGATGTTTTTTTATTTGATATTTTGTCCTGTTTTGTTCTTTTTTATCTGAGTGGTGAGATGCACACTTCACAAATTAAAGTATCGACTAAAAATATCAGTTTCCTTTAACCACAATGTTTCAAACCTTGTAGGAACAAACTGATAACATAAAGAAGCGGCACAGACACTATTTAAGGACTTCTGTTTTTTCCCCTTTTTAAAGTTGCTTTCTTTAATATGATCTGTTTTGTTGGTAAAACATTGGGAGACCTAAATGTTGACTCATTCCCTTCAGTTGTTTTGTTTGATAAAGTTTTTCTGCAGCTGTTTTCCTCGCCTCCTCCGGGAGAGGAACATTCTTTTTTTTTTATTAGAATTGTATTATTTTTGTACTGATAATTTTGATAATTACTTTGTGTGCAAAACAAAGGGAACATGATTTTCTGCAGCTGAGAATGTTAAAATTTAACTTTTTTGAAAAAGTCATTTTCAAACAGATTTAAATATTTTTGAGCTGACAGTTGTGAGCTACAGCTTTACTCTCGCAGTTTGACAGGAAACTGGTGTCTCTGCTGTCAAATAGCTCCTTAAATGCCTCATGAAATGGTATTATTATTGATTTAAGAGCAGAAAACTTTTTATTTTCCTCACTTTGATCCATACTGAGTGAATGTCAACAAGCTGTATTTCTACCTCTGTCTTGTACATTTACACTTCAGTCGACTCCACGAGTTGACCTTTAAAATAAAAATTAAATTGCCCTGAGTCTTTGCAAAACGTTTTTATAAATGTAGAAACTCGCCTCCAGTTTATTTTGTTTTTGAATGTGCAGAAAAAAACAGTTATTGAGACAAGAATCACAACATGACAGAAACTTCTTAACAAATGATTCAATTGTCGTTTCAGATTTCAGTTTTTCATCATGAGTTCGATCAGATCCACTGAGCTGGATGTGTTTGTGTCGACTTTCTTCAATTCAGTTCAGTTCATTTATATGGCRCCAAATCACAACAATTGTTGTCTCAGGGCACTGTATACAAAACAATAAATCTAAAGAAGACAGGAGATTGTGTTGAATCTTCACTTCATCACAGTCTCCCGTCCTGAGCAAACATTGGAAAGGAAAAAAACTCCCTATTAACAGAAAGAAACCTCCAGCAGAACCAGGTTCAGGACAGGCGGTCATCTGCCTCGACCCGCTGGGTTTGAGGGGACAGGAAAGAGACACAGAGAGACACAGGACYGGTCCAGGTGTATTTTCCTCTGGATTATCAAAAAAGGAAAGTCTTCAGTCTAATCTTAAAAGTAGACAGAGTGTCAGCCTCATGGACAGAAACTGGAAGTCGGTTCCACAAGAGAGGAGCTTGATAACTGAAAGCTCTGCCTCCCATTCTACTTTTAGAAACTCCAGGAACCACAAGTAAACCTGCAGTCTGACAGTGAAGTGCTCTGTTAGGAAAGTATGGAACAATAAGATGTTTAMTATATGATGGAGCTTGGTTGTTAAGAGCTTTGTATGTTAGGAGTAATATTTTAAATTCTATTCTGAATTTGACAGGGAGCCAGTGGAGAGAAGCTAAAACTGGAGAAATATGATCTCTCCTTCCAACTCTCATTAAAACTCTAGCAGCAGCATTTTGGATCAACTGAAGACTTCTTAAAGAGGTTTTTGGACCCAGATAATAAAGAATTACAGTAATCCAGTCTAGACGTGATAAATGCATGAATCAGTTTTTCTGCATCATTTTTGGACAAAATGTTTCTAATTTTAATGATATTACACAGGTGGAARAAGGCGGTCCTGGTAACATTTTTAGCGTGGGGATTAAAAGACATATCCTGATCAAAAATAACACCAAGGTTCTTTACGTAAGAACTGGAGACCAGATTAATGCCATCCAGAGGAAGTGAAAGTTGATCCCTAAGATGTTCAGGTCCAAGAACCATAACCTCTGTCTTATCTAAGTTTAGATGAAACCTGATTAGATTCATCAGGTTTTGTGGGTAAATATAACTGAGTATCATCAGCAAAWCAATGTAAATGTATCCCATGCTGTTTAATAACTTTACTTAATGGAAGCATAAATAAAGAGGTTTGGTCCAAGCACTGAACCCTGAGGAACTCAATGACTAATTCTGGTTTGATAACATTAACAAACTGGAATCTGTCAATTAAATATGATTTAAACCATTAAACCACCAAACTTTCTTCTGAATAAATATAAATCTCCATCAGGATAAAGGCTGAAAACCAAACACCTGCTGACTGCATGACTCAGAGACAAAGCAACACTAACACACAGGAGGTTTTTCCCAAACCAGAAGTTGTCCACAGTTTAAACAAAAACTGAGCAACCTGTTAGCACTCACAGCATGTGATGAAATGACTCTCAGCTACTACCACAGCTAATTTACTCTGCRCCCACCTTTTATGGCAGCAGGCAATAATAACTATTAATACAGACGACTTAGATGGAAACATTACAGCAGGACAAAGTTTCATCTCATCTGTTCTGGTCCAGCAGCTCGCCTCGTGAACAACACTTGAGCTTTGCACTATAATATGTTGCGTGGGTTCAAATACACCAGTTGGATGATTTTACAGAGGAGAGTCCCAGATGATCTGAGACACATCTGGTTTCTCCCACAGCTTGAAACAAATACAACAAATCCACAGAAATGTTGGTGTTTTCTTTGAATAACTCACCATCGGAGTTGGTTTTGTTGAAATGAAATCTGTTTAATCAGGTCAGTGTAGCAGAGCAGAAGGTCCAGGGTTTTCTTTCCTTCCAGTTTTATTTATAACCAGTGGATTCAACGAGCAGCTCCTCTAATGAGGCTCAGGTTTTAAAGGACAAGGATTGTTCCCAGCAGACAGTTTCCTGGAAAAATAAATAAACACAACACAGTCAGGTGTTTCAAACTGGGATCCTAAGAAGCTGAACAAAGTTTCTGTTTCAGCGGAGTGTYAAAGGAACGAAAAGCCAGGTGGAAATTTCCTAAACTGTCAGTTTCTTTCTGAATAATTCCTGTTTRAATTGAGTTATAACCACTGTTTTATTATTTACTCAAATCCTTGGTTGGCAGATTTGTTCATTTGAATTTAATTTATTTCTGGCCCTGACCYGATGCCATTCCTGTATTTCTGTCTGCTGGTTGTTAGCACTGGTCTGAAATGTGACACTCGTTGGTCATGCAAAAACTGCAGCCAACACAAACAAGTTCACTTCTCGTCATCACTTTCAGGAGAAACTCCTTAACGAGCCTTAAACAAACTTTCATTTTTTTACCGCTGATGAGGAAAATATCTAGTGTCAAAACTGACAATCAGAGACATGACTTTTATGAGTTTGTATAATAAAATACAACACATTCTGTAAAATAAAGTGTTGTGTTACACCTCTTTGTGTGTAAGGCCCACTTCCACCAGTTTCATTAAAAATAAACATTTCTAAATTATAATTATGAAGTACGCTTTTGAAACAATGATATGGTAGGTCATATTTCAAGAGAGGATTTCATAATTAGGACTTTGTGTCTGCATATCATTACTTACTTTCTCTAAATTATGACTTAGCAGAGCTAAACTCWGTTTCTGCAGACATGACTTGACATTTCTCCAAAAAGCTTCTTGTTTGTTTTCTCAGGTATTTGTTGGTTCTTTTGTCTGACGGACAAGAAAAATTGCAAAATCTGTGAAGCTGGAGTTTATGAAGAATGGAGGAGTCATAGCTGGTGCATTTGGCATCAGATTCTAAAATTCAGCAGAACATTATTGATGATGTACTGAAGAGAGTCAGGGCCACAGAACAAAAGAAATATGTTTCCCTGAGTTCTGACTTTCTTTTCTCAGGATTTTGACTTTTTTCCCCTCAGATTTATGATTCACACCACGCACTGCGCGTAGGGCACCAAGAAATCAGGTTCATGAAAAAAATCCTCATGACAACATATTTAAAGCATGTTTAGACAACCTGTAAGCAGCACAAAACTAATATATTTGTTCAAGAAAAAAGTTGAATCTAAGCTGTGTAAAGAGGCCTCCGCCAGTCTCCTGGTGCCCACCCCAAACTCTCAAAGTGGCGCACACACACACACACACACACACACACACACAC